AGGAGATGATCTTAGTCATCATCGCTCTCCTGGTCTCTGGTGGGATGAACACTGCCTATGTCAGACCGATGAACTGCATTAATCAGACTGATAAAATAACTTAAAACATATTTTGAGCTCACATCTATGAATTACTACTATAGCTGAATGCAATTAAATTTTACACATCACACATTCTTTAGCTATCTAAGAGTTACCTCCTCCTGGCCTCAGTCTGCGATATATGGCTGAAAAAAAAGTTCCTACAGGTGGATTGGCCCTTAATTTTGAAGATATTTATTGAAGATAGTTATTGCTGCTCCTGTAAACGTGCAGTGCATTACAGCAGGTAATGAAGAGAAACATCTGTCTATGGTAGTAATCTCCAGTGAAAGCAATCTCACATAAAAGTTCATACTATCCCACTGGATGCTTTAATGAAAAAAAAATAAAGCAGCTGGAATGTAATCCCTAAATATTTCTTGATTCTCCAAAATAAAGAATATCACAGAAGTGGAATGTACTCTAGAGAAGCAGATCACTCCTCTCAGTAAGACATTCTGATAAAGGACAATTGTGCAGTTTCCATAGGAGTTGGCAGAAGTTTAACTTCCACTTGAATGTTTATGAACTATCAGCCAGAAGTCACATCTTAAAAATCTATTGTTCAATGTGTAGCTGCTGATACCAAGTCAGGTGCTGACAAGGAACTGATTTAAATAACTCAGCCTGACTCTAAATATATATCCAACAGAACCTATGTTTTAAAAGTACATAAATTATAAAAAAAACTATATTTATGTGAACAGTATAAAATATCACTTATAAAAGGTATATATTATGGGGAAAAAATCATTTTTATAGTTGATACAGACAAACTATTCAATGCTGTCAGTAAAGTGATGAATTTACTGATATCCTGAAACTGTGAAACCTCTCAAGTACAATGATAATTATTGGCTGACAGAGCTCTCTTAAAAGCCAAAATATGTTCAGAAGGTACTACAATAAATGTAGAGACTTACCTATCACTTACCTCATGAAAAAAAAGGAAAACCAAAATATTGACTGAGATTATCTGTTTCAGTGTACTCACTCTATTTTTTCTTAAAATCACAACTAAGGTTTTGTACATTGGATTTTGCTCTGAACTGTTTTAAGCCAGTTGATTACCTACAGAACTGGACCTTTTAGATTAAAATAAGAATGAAAGCTGAATGATGCAGCTTCAGTCATGGTCATGCTGCCCCTATTTTAAGTTTTCCTTCTGTCGTGGCCATGTAGTTTCCCCCCCCTTTTTTTTCTTTTCCCTTTAAGTGCCATTGCATCCATCATTCCTGCCTGATCTTCTAGGAACCTTTCAAGTATGGAACTGGAGCCAGAGAGCTGCTAAGGAGCTGAAGCCAATCTAGCTACAGTGAAGAGACAACTGTCTGGCTGCAGATGGACAGAACTGGCTGAGTTCCACCATCTCCACACACAGAATGCTGAAGGGTGAACAGGGAGCTGATTTTAGCAGCGATATTTCTCTGGAAAATAAAGTGGGACTGAAAACTGGATACTGGGAAAGGCAAAATTATGTACACGAAGTTTTGAAAATGCTGATAGCAGTTTTAGCTGTAGATCACTGCAACAAGTAGAGTTCTAGAAAAGAAGAGTTACCACAAGAGCCCAAAATCAAAAGAGTTCCATGTCTTCAGTGCCAAGGATCTCAGCAGCTCTGGAGATAAAAGAACTCTGTAATGCTAATTCTGCCCAGTGAAATTCCCTGTTCTCAGTTTAGTTGCAAAGTGATGAGACAAGAACAGTTTGGGCCAAGAACTGCAGTGCACAGGCAAAACCAAGTGAATGTAGAGTAAATTCCAACAGTGCTGTAATTTACATTTTGTTGTGTCTCAGTGTGTTTTGAATGATCTATACAAAACCAAAACATGCACTCCAAATTAAAACCCAAACAAGCTGGAAACGGTACTGAGCAGACAAGGGACAGGTCAGTGGGTCACTACTAAGGAGAAACATGAGACAAACAAAGACAAACCTCCCCTGAGCAGAAATGACCAATGGGAATTCCGAATTGAGCCTGTAATGGTTTATGTGTCGAGCAAACGTGTTCAGCACACTTACATTGCAGTACTACTGTTAATCTGCATAGGTAGCAGTGTAACAATAAAACAGTTGCAAGGTAAGCCGTCACAGAAAACTTACCTCACTAGTACTTCCCAAAAAGCCTTTCCTGACTATGACTAAGAACATGGAATTCATGGACAGGATTTTGAAAGAATATTACAAAGCAATAAGGTAAGCAGAGGTAGACCGACTTCACAATGCATTAATTTTGATCAAGTTTTTCTTTTCTTCTGTTTTATTGTGTTCTCGTGAATAAAAAGCAGAATATTAAAGCCAGTTCTCAGTATAGGGCTGTTCTAATGGTTATTAAGAACTTGAGACAATCTTTGGGATTCAAACATAGCAGCTCTATACCTAATATTCAAATGATGAATTCTATTAATTCCCCTCTTTTTTTTTTGTTTAAAAAAATAAATAAAAAATGAGTTATTGCTACAGCTACAATCAACTTATGATACCTGAAATAGACATTTGTTTAACTTGTGTTCACATTCAATAAGATGCTCATGGTATTCTGTATTACAAATGTCATGACATTTTTCTCCTTTAACTAGATGAAAATCATACTCTTGGTCAGGTAACTTCTTCTCTGGGAACTGTTCAAATCTAGCAAGAACCTTTGAAAACATGCTGAAGTTATTTAGAATGTTAGGTTAGCAACATGGAAGCCAAAAAAAAAAAACCACATAGACCACAGTAAACTTCTTTAAGAGTGAAGAATCACCACAGAGTTTTTAAAATAGGCTTGCTGCTTTAAAGTAGCAGCCTTGCCATCTGTTCTATAGTAATTAGGAATGCAAAGAGAACACATTTCACAGTTACATCAGCACATAGTAAGATTAAACTGTTTAAATGACTAGGTAAAAGCTTCCCATGCTCGTACAATGAGATTTCCAACTGTGCTTCCCCTGTTCATGACATAAATAAGGAAAAATGACACCCTAGATAACATGAAAGTTTTAGAATTACTAAATACTTCCCTGTATTTGCTGTTATATACAATGATCTGTCAGCTTAAGTCTGCAGTTTGTTCCTTTGAATCTGGACCAAAAACTCCGTGTGAGAGTGAAGAGAGGGTATAAAGAAGAACAGCTTAAATTTATTTAGAATTAGAGCAACATCTTAAGGCAGAAGATCTAATCAATATATCATAACTACATTAGCTGCTGGAAAGGAGTATGAACTACATTTACTGAGATAATATTTTTATTAATATCTGGGAAATCTAACAGGTGCTGACGATTGCTTAAGTCAGAATATGACATCAAGCTAGTGATAATCACAAATGGAACTATTCCTTCAAAAAGTAAAACTGAATGTGCCTGAATCCACAAAAATCACAAATGCAGAATTTAATAGGTGAAATACAGAGAGATTTAAGAAGTAATCAAAAGTAAGAACAGTATTTAAATACATGAAAAACAGTGAGATTGAAATAAAAAGGATGTATTTGCCACACTGTGAGAGGAAAGTGGGACAAGAATTCCTTTTCTTTTATTAAAGAGGAGATATTGTGAGACTCTGCAACAAAGCAACACTGCCATTAGGCTTCCACAGACTGTTCTTGGTTCAGACTGAAAATGAGAACAACTATGGTTTGAGTAAGAAGATTTGTAAGCCATATAAAAGAAAGTTTACAGAATCCTCCAGACTTTGACTACACAGCAGTCATTAAACATGCAGGAGTTGGGTAAGAGATGAGATATTTAAAAATGTATTGCTTAAATTACTTAGAAAAGCAAACACTGCATAAACTAGTAATCAGTGTTGGAGAGGCTGTGTCAGATTTGAAGTGAGTTGTCAGTTTTTACCGTTCCCTGTTTCTTCAGATTTTTAAAATAGCATTTCATATTTCATAAACATTACTTGCTTTATAAAAAAATCCTCAGAACATACAGCCACACGCATAACATAAATCAATAATTTCTTTTATAAATTTCATACCAATGCTGCCACAATAGTTCTCTGTTCTGTTTCAACAATCACCTATAATAAGTAAAAAAAAAAGAAATGCAATCACAATTTCTCTATTGGACTTTGCAGAGCCTAAGTTTTGTTGTTGATCTGTGTAAATATCCCCCAAACTTACTCGGAGAGAGAACCTAGTCATGGAGGCCTAATGAACAACTGGTCATCAACACTGAACCATTGTTAGTTACTCACCTGCTCTGTGTTCAGCTTGCTATAGTTGTGATTTAGCTTAAACATCTTTCAGATGGGAGTGGTGTTTGGGTGAGCAGGCCCAGTGGGGCTGCTCAGCCCTCCTAACTCAGCCTTTCACCAGCAACCTGGTTTTAAACCACTTCTCATGCTGATACCCACCTTCTAACAAGAACTGAGGAACACCAGAAGAGAGTCTCCTTAAATAATGTGCAAGCAGTGCACACTTGGTGTCTCTCTTAAACAGGACTTCCTGGGGGTGTTTTATTCACTCAGGTGTGGGGCACTGAGGGAGGCACTTCATGGGAGGGGGGGGACGGTCTGGGGTCCCTCAGGGCTGCCCACAAGGCTCTGAGGGGGCTTTTAGAACCAAATTAAAAAGAAACCCCAAATAAAAAAAACCCTGCCAAACAGGGCACAACAACAACAACAAAAAGAACGTGAGCAACGAAAATGAACTTGCCAAACACAGCTGAGCGAGCAATCACCTGGAAGCTTTACCAGTATCTCCTCACCTGGGTGCTGTTCCTGAGGCAGGTCTGAGGGCAGAAATGTTGCCCACTGCCTCCCCACAGTATTCTGCCCTTTTAAAGCCTTTTAGAGCCTTCTATTCCCCTCACCTCTTTTTACCCTTTTAGAGTCTTCTTTCATGCCCTTTTGGAACTTTCTTTGCCCCTCACGGCTTCCTACTCTTAGAGGCTTTTTTTACGCCCCGCTCCCTCACACTTTCCTACCTTTTCTGTGCCTTCTTTGCCGCTCACGCTTTCCTTCCCTTTTTGCCCACCGCTCCCTCACAGCTTCCTTCCCCGTTGGAGTCACCTTTGCCCCTCGCCGCTTCCTCCCCTTTTAAGGGCTTCTTTGCTCCCGCCCCTCACAGTTTCCTGCCCCCTTTGGAGGCTTCATTACCCCGCTCCCTCAGAGCTGCCCTCGGCTGTGAGGGGACGGCGGGGCTCCCGTTCCTCGGGGTTGCTTGGCGTTCTCCCGGCAGGTTAGTGGGTCTATGCCGGCTGGTAGCGCTGTGTGGTTGGGAAGGGTTTCCTCCCACCTCTGCCTCAGGGAAGAAGAACTTTGTTTTTCAGGGGGGAAGCCCTCTGAGGGGCTGGTTGCGGCCGGTCCGTGCCGCTTCCCCTACAGGCTGCTTCGCTTTCGGCTGTGGCACAGACTGAGGTGCAAGGTCACTCCTTTCCCTTTGCTTGTGGTTTTATATCATCTGAATTTATATCTGAATTTATATCTGAATTTATATCTGAATTTATATCTGAATTTATATCTGAATTTATATCTGAATTTATATCTATCTGAATTGTCAGCCCCCGGGGATGGTGAAAAGATGCTGCTGAGCACTTACGGGCAAGTGAGGGTTAACCCTATTCATTGCCCTCAAGTGTGAGGCGTAATTATTTCCCTTATCTTATATATCCCCCTACTCTACTTAATAAACCGACCAGCAGGGTGCTAATAAAAGAAACAGCTATTACTAAAGCATGTTTTTCTTTTAGAAGAAAACAAGTTCATGGTTTTGGTTTTATCAGAACCCAACACCCCCTTAAGGGAGTGGGGTGGGTCTAAAGTGGCTATTAAAATTATTGCTTGAAATGAAATTTGATTTAAAAAGCAGCAGCCCCATTGCTTTACAAAGGCATTTCAGTAAAATAGTGCTGTTTCAGGTCATTATTTGAGCTTTGTGTGCTGCTTTATTAAAGATAACTATTTAAAATATTACAGATATGAAATGGAAAACTGTCTAACCTTTTATTATTTGATATTTGAACAACAAATACAGGCCCCTACAAGGTAAAAGATTTGCTTGCCCCATTGCTAAATGCTTATTATTTCTGTAGCACACTAGTACAATGTTATTTTTATAACTTTTTCTTTTTTTTAACTCCACTCTGTGCTACCTGGAAACTTGAGGAACAGTCATGGTTTTCTCCCTGTCTTCAAGGCCATCCAGCAACCAGTTCCTTGGTGATGTATGATGTTCAGTGTTACTAGGCACCAATTTAGAAAATTCTGGCTTTTAATGCCTGGTTTTAAGATTGACTTGTGCGGAAATTTGTGAAGGAGCAAGGTAAATACGTACAGCAATTGTGGTTTTTTTTGTCTAGTTGTCATCTGTGTTCTCAGAAAGACTGTCTTTGCTAACCATTAACATAGAAAGATGAAGAACTTGGAGGTGTGGCTTAATGCATTTTAATGTGTCTTCCCCCATTAATAAATGAATGAACTAACAAATAAATTAATAAACTGTTGAAACAGTTTTTTTGGGATGAAACTGCCTAAATCTTTGTCCTGAGTTCCTGGCATTCACACAGCTCTTACTTCCTCTGACTTGTCTCCTGTGTGTGTTGATAGAGTCATGTTCACACATACATCCTGAATTACAGGTGGGAACCAGTTTTTCAGGTTTTTCTCCTCAGTTTCAGTCAAGTATGCAAGACTGTCCTCCTGAAGTGCTACAAAATGAAAGCTCTTTGAAATTTCTGTAAGAATATGATAAAATTGAATTTTTTTGGACAGCACTATTCCTTCTGATGATTAGAATTAGGCAGAGGAAAGCATGGTGTACTTGTTGTGTTTGGGGTTTTTGCCTGTTTGTTTTGAAGTGGGCCCAGAAGTGTGAATTGATGCTCATTCACATAACTAATAATTAATAAAATAGTATTAATAGTATTAATGACTTCTAACACCATATGTGCATCTGTGAATGGTTCTTATGACGCCAACTAGCAAAACCTCAATGTTAATACTCACATTACATTGGTTTTATAGGATTATGTTTCCTTATGAACATAGGGAAGCTGCCAATATTTGACAATATTTGTGGTTTGTTATGATTAGATCAAGGTTTTAGCACAAAACCCAGTAAATGTTGCCAAGATATTTGGCTCGTATGATAGACTAGTATCGTTCAGCTTTTCCATATGCCTTTGTCTGTTGCAGCTTTTTTAACAAATGGGTTTAATTAGTGATAATAAAAGTGAGGCAAATTAGAATGCTCAGTTATTTGCTGGAAATATTCATTTTGTTTAAGTGGAAGTATGAATTTGTGTGAAAAGCAGTCACACATACCTTTTCATTTCAGAGTGTTGTCAAACAGCTCAGTTGGCTTTTGAGGAGAATGTTGCTCTCTGCGTATTCAAGCCACCTTTTCCAAACTTTGCTGGCCTGCAGTTTTCAGAAAAGCACCCGAAATAGTAAGTTTGTCTCACAAAATTCAGAACAGCTGAGGCTTGACCCCTGTGCTTTGGTAAGAGTGTGTCCCGTGTTTGCTTCCTTGCTTTATTCATGTTGTGATTTTGTGTGTATAACAGCAATAAATTCACAGTGCTACTGTAAAACTTCTCCAGTGGATACCAACTTCACCATTTTCAGGTAAATTCTTGAAAGGAGAGAATTGTTGTGGGTTTTTTTTTTTTTGATTGCTCGGTTCTATAGGTAATAAAAGGTAATAAAAGAACACCTTGCTGTTGTTGGATACTGTTATTGCCATTACTGTTACTGTGTTACTTGTGTGTCAAGGAGCATTTCTGTCACCCATAGGTAAATGTAACTTGTATATAGGTGTAAATCTAGAGATATGGGTGGACAATCAAGATACTTTAAATTTTATGCGCTTACAGTTTGTAAACACTTAAATAGTTCCTATAACCATGTTTTTACTTGCCTATGAGCTACTTGGAACTTGCTGGAAATGGCAGAGTATAAGTATGGGTAAGGGCAGGAATCACAGCAAGGCCACCACGTTAAAGACTTGTCTGCAGCTCATTCAGCAGTTACTTGATTGTTTATTTTCTGCATAAATGTGCCAGATTTTGGTGCCCAAACTGGGCATTTAACTACAGGGCATGGGTATGAAACTTTATGGGGAATGGTAGATTTCCCTGTACTGGTTGTGTGATTGAATGCAGCCAACATATTGTGCTTGGTAAGATTTGCCTCATGATTGTGCACCTCAGAAAGAAAATATGCCTTTGTAAGACTTGTAAGTCTTTCTAAATCCTAATCTTATTAATGAATAGTGGATATTTTAGTTACCCATTTATGTCTCTCCCTAAATCATTTAAAAACTGTTCAGGTGCATTTAAGCAAATCCAGACCTCTCTAGTTGATCTAGTAGAGAAATGGAGACCAATAAGTCAGTAATGGAAATTAAGTCATTTTCTAAGTTTAATATGTTTCAGCAGAACTACATTACATCATCCTGATTTGTGATGACTGGTTTTTAAGTCTGAAGTAGATCAGGAAGAGGATATAATCTTTCATGCTTACAATTCTGTTCTGTATTGATATTCTTTGAAGCTAAATATTCATTAGAGCTCCAAATTGAAAAGAATGCAGATTTTGTCTGTTTAGCAATTTTTCAGACAGAAGAGAAGACAGAAGAAGTTGAACATTAAGGTAGTGTTTATTTCATACTTTTCAACCAGTAGATAAGCTTTTTCACATTGATATTTGAAAGAAACTTGCTTTGGTGGATATGATCTATATTGAGCAAATACAAAAGAAAATAATCTCTTTGCCAAGAAAATAAATTACATGACAGAAACTGAATCAGCTCATTGTAATTTTCTTCTCCTAGCTGATGGATGCCTGACAGGACCTATATTCTCTCCTGCCCACGACTGAAAAGCAAAAAAAAAATAAATAAAACACAATTTCTTTTCTTTCACAGCAAATATTTATTAAGATTATTCTTGTTATTTTATTACCTTATCTGAGCTGTGCTGTTTTTATTACCTTTTCCCTACTGCAGCCATCTTTCTGCAGTCCAGCTTAGCTGCTTTGGCTGAGCGAGGCAGGGAGGAAAAGGAAGCAGGGACTCTTAATACTTCCCTCATGCAACTCCAGTGGGGAATGTCTTTGCTATCCAACTTAGGTCACTGTGTTGGACAGAGAAAATGGGTACAGATCCTGTAGCTGTGTGCACACAGAAGTGTTCATGCCTGAGTAACTCTTATCCCCACAAATTCAAAGTAAAAGCTGGTCTGTGTAGATGCCAGAGATGGGTAGAGTTGTGTGAACAGAGACCATGTCTGGGGAAAAACGAGAGAAGAAAGAAAGGAACTGTGAGATAAAAGCTAGATTTAATTTCCTGACATGCTTTCTTCTGAATATACATCACTTCAGTTTTCTTCCTCTTGAGAATGTAAAGGTAGAATGCCTCTGTGTTTGTTTCCACCAGATATTAAAAACACTGGCTTTGATTGATGGAAATTCCCTTTTTTATTACTTATTTTTTCCAGTAACCCTACCTACAAGGATTAAGCAGCAGTAATACTGAGTGGTGTCCTTGCCTTGAGGCTGCTTCCACTCCTCCACACAGAAATTATGTTCTGCCTTTCCTCTTAGTACACGTTTCTGTTCTAGTGTTTCATGAGTGGAAGAACACAGGGAGAAAGGTTTTTAAGGTCAAATGATAGAAAAATCGCATTCACGGTTCACCAATAGCATGCATACAATCTTGGGATCTGTAAACTTAACTATGCTGAGTTTTCATTTCTTAAAAAATTTTATAACTCAAACCTTTGTTCCTTAAGAGACTTAGACTTCATTTCTTGTTGAAGAATGAAGATAATGTTCACAGACTTTGCTCAGATTCAAAGTGTGCTCTCCTCACAGATGGCAAAAGGTCTAAATTCATATAAATGTGATGGTCTGTATCATCTTTTATATTTACCCAGGAATATGAAAGAGTTGCATAAAATAAAAACAATAAAAAATATTAATTGGTTCATATCTTCTTGTCTATACTGTGGGGCTAGGCTGGTCAGTCACACTGTAATTATCTCATGCATAAAAATCTTGCTTTCAGATAATTACACAGTTTTTCAACCCTAGTATAATGCATAAGACTATCACGATTAAATTATAGGACTAGATTAAATGTGAAAT